AATGGAGATGGGGATTGAGAGAAGGGAGAGGGAGACAGAGAAAGTGAGAGATAATATATGTTCATTTGTACAGGTATCGTATCTATACAAATGAAACTGAATTGGGATCAGATCCAAAGATTTCTGTTCGGATCCATTTGTGAAAGAATAGAGTGAATGATACAAAGATTTTTGTCTATATATATGGTATGGAGGAGAAAAGAAGGATGTGGAAAACAAGACATGGATTTTGTACAATGACACTGTACAACAATTTGGAAAAGGGATGTAGCGCAGCTTGGTAGCGCGTTTGTTTTGGGTACAAAATGTCACGGGTTGTCATCCCTACCTATTCTTTCTCCTATGCACAGTGACGAGAGATTCATTGAGTAAGATCGGTTCAAATTGGACATCATCTTTCATTTTGACATACTCTATGTACGCAAGACCCCTCGGGGGTCAAAAAATCCTTTTCTTGACAATCGTATCTACTGTGATAAGAAAGCGCTCTTAGTTCAGCTCGGTAGAACGCGGGTCTCCAAAACCCGATGTCGTAGGTTCAAATCCTACAGAGCGTGATTCCTTTTATGTTCTGTCGAATTCCAATGAAAGAACTTCACAAAACAAAGTCGAATTGCAACTGAAATTTGACCTCCTCCCTCTAAACTACAACCTAGACGTCCATTGATAAGAGGTATGTCTCCCTGTAGGCACTTATCCCAAACTTGACCTAAGGTACTTTTCTAGACTCCGCGGAAACCATGGAAAGCAAACAAGTTGACCAGTTAGACGAGCGGAGGATGAAGTTTGATCATTAGACGATTGAAACGGGTACTACATGAAATCGGTCTACGAGACTCAGTCCTGAACTCCAGAAGCAAGAATGGACGGATGCCCGAGGAGTTCTGTTCTACCGTTGACGACAGCAGCAGCGGGAATGGATTTGAAAGAGTAGCTGCTAACGACCACCGAGAAGGGCGGATCTGACTCAATTTCCATTTCTCACAAAAATCATTGCCATTTCACGATCTTTTTCCACCACCCCGAAGAAAAACTCCTCCACTCCTCTGTGAACTCAAAAAAGAAAGACCGACCTTTCGTTTTCAGAGAGAACAAATGAAGGGGAGAGATGCGATTCATCAACAAAGAGATAGGGATAAGGATTCGCAGGCGAGACAGATATGGAATTCACGGAGGAAGGTCAATGTGTAGCTGGGCTGGAGGAAAGATTGAATGGAAAAGAATGTCGACTTCTTGGAATGGATGCAAAGGCTCAGTAAATTTCATAGAAAGAAGATTGAGAGAATTGCGTATATACATCAAAGGAAGCACAAAAGATGGACGTCACTCATGTGCTAATGGTTTCAAGCGATGCAAGGCACCCTGCTTTCTTTCTTTGTACGGAGGGCCGGCCCCCGGCCCACCCAACTCTTCTTAGATGGGGCAAGCGCCAGACCGACCAGCAGGAGTAGGATCTGAGTTTCACGATATTCTGTTCTGAGTCTCGGCCTTCATTCACATTCAATCAATCAAAAGAAAAATGCTGACTCTTCTTTCTATATGCAATTCTATCTCCACAACAACTTTCAATTGGGCCCCGGCGCGAGACGTGAAATCACAATAGGCGGGCTCCTGAAAAAAGCAATCTTTCTTTGCTACGCAATCTTCAGTCAACCTTTATGCATGAGAGGACTCCACTACTAGGTGGGGATGAATGAAACAGATACAGATACGCTGAGATTCTTACCACCGTCGCTTCGCGCCTTGCTAAAGGTCCTCTCTCTTTCTCTAGAAGTCCACTTCCATGAATCATTCGTACATTCATGTGATGATGAGGCGAAGGGCCAAACTACCTGACTGAAACAGCGATTGCAGTGAACTGCTAAGCTGGAGTTCGGAAGTCCAAACCTACCAAACAAAGTGAGACTTAGACTCGGCAGACCATCCAAGCACAAGGTAACAGAACAAAGTGAGCAAGCTCGCATAAAGCGATTATGCTCACTAATCTTTGCCTCTGCTGGAGGTTCTACCACGCAAACGTTTCAATTTGCAAAAAAACCTTTAGCAAGCTCGTTAGCAAGTAGCGAGTCCCCGCTTTAAGGTGAGAAAGTCAAGCCAGTCCCGAAAGCTAGATTCCCAATTCGGTGTGAAAAGCATAGGTCCAGCTTGTTTGAGCCAGGATTCTTTTGTCAACCATTCCCGTATTCCACTCGAAGGGATATGCGTTCTAGCTGCGGATGTAGCCTAGCCTGAATTTAGATAGGTAGGAATAATGAGGCAAGAGTTTGATTCTGAAAGAAAAGGCAAGAGTTTTGCTGTTTTTCTTCAATTGAAGTTGAAAAGCGAGCGGATATGATTAGGAGCGATACTTGAGCCTAACCCTTGGATTCTTAGAACTCTCCGTTGCTTTCTTGATCTTTCCCGCTGTCACTAGTGATGGCATTCGAACAGAGGATTGAATCAGACCATACCTATTGAACCTCGCCTACTGGAACTTTCCCTTGAACTTGTCTCAGTGAAACTCTCGCCTTGAACTGGGGATAGCTTCTACTTAAGAATCGCATCTTACCTTTTCAATTTCTATAACGGGGTCTGATTCCGGTTCTAAAAGCACTTTAGATGGCTCAAACTAGAGATTTAGGGTCTCAGAGTGAAGAGCTGGTGCTTTACGCTTAGGCACCTTGTTGATGATCTGGACGTACTTTTTCATTTCATTCGGTTGCCCTGTTTCAGTCCTTCTGGAAAAGATTCGTTACCCTATTTTGACTTGCTTCTCAACAAGCTACTAATTTGAATGGACGCTTCCCAACCACCGGTATCTAGATTAAGTAACGAAGGCTACAACTGGGACTCAAAAAAAAGAGAGTCCAAAAAAAAGGGAATCTATCCGGCCTGTCCGCCACAACCAGAAAATAAAAAGTCTAGAAAAAAATCTATATAGATCTTTCTACTCTATATAGACTCTGTCTTTCTTTTCCTATCAAGCCGTTCAACTTTGAAAAAGGCGCGAAGCGTCTGTGTCAAATCGGGTGTTCAGTCTACCGCGTTCAAGCTATCGAAAATCATGCCATTCTCCCATCAGACTCTTGTTGGAAAAACCAACGCCAAGGCGATGATCAGTCTCTTTTAGGGAGCAGAGCAGTCACAGAATGGAAATCCAAATGATGTTTGACTTCTTCAGGATAGATGATTTGACCATAAACGGAGTACAAGGTGAAGCCTATAGGGATGCCCTGGATCTAGCGGGGATAGGTCCCAGCCCACTTGAGCAATTTGCCATTCTCCCGTTGATTCCTATTCAGATAGGGGACTTTTCTTTCTCATTCACAAATCCATCTTTGTTTATGCTGCTCACTCTCGGTTTGGTCCTACTTCTGATTTATTTTGTTACGAAAAAAGGGGGGGGAAAGTCAGTGCCAAATGCTTGGCAATCCTTGGTAGAGCTTATTCATGATTTCGTGCCGAACCTGGTAAACGAACAAATAGGTGGTCTTTCCGGAAATGTGAAACAAAAGTTTTTCCCTCGCATCTCGGTCACTTTTACTTTTTCGTTATTTCGTAATCCCCAGGGTATGATACCCTTTAGCTTCACAGTAACAAGTCATTTTCTCATTACTTTGGCTCTCTCATTTTCCATTTTTATAGGCATTACGATCGTTGGATTTCAAAGACATGGGCTTCATTTTTTTAGCTTCTCATTACCCGCAGGAGTCCCACTGCCATTAGCACCCTTTTTAGTACTCCTTGAGCTAATCCCTCATTGTTTTCGTGCATTAAGCTCAGGGATACGTTTATTTGCTAATATGATGGCCGGTCATAGTTCAGTAAAGATTCTCAGTGGGTTTGCTTGGACTATGCTATTAATGAATAATCTTATCTATTTCATAGGAGATCTTGCGTCATGTTAAGTATAAAATGGGGTCATTATCAGATACGAAATGGTCCATGAAAGTGTGAGGGTGATCCAAATTCCATAGATAAAAATAGCAAAAATTTCATATTTTCATAAAAAAAAGGGTTAATAAGAACCTGATCACAACCTTAGAACCACGGTAGTAGTTGCTGAACTACTGGGCCAGGAGAGGACAACCTTTTGTTCCTGCTCCTCTTCCTTCGCTTCGGGGACGGAGGTCCTACGGTAGGTAACAGCAGGCACAAGCAAAGCACTTGACCGAAGGGGACCAGCGCTTCTACGAGGAGCCGTTCGCAGCGAGAAGCAAGGGATGTCGTGAACGGTGGGAGGTAAAAGAAAGAGAATTGACCTATTCATAGAGTGATCTATGATCTATATAGAGTCTATATCCTCCGTCTTTGATTTCGTGGACAAACTTTCCGGTCCGGCCTATGGATGGATCCTTTTAGATCTACGGGCCGGCCGTTCACATGAGCATAGGGAATCTATACTCGAGCGTTCGACTTGGCCCCTGACAGTATAGGTGAGTAATCACTCTTGATCTGATCTATTGGGGCCTACAACTTTGCCGAGCCGACTAGCATCCCTTTCAACTGCGCATTTTTCGAACAAAGAAGACGACTATAGGATCGAATTCGCTTTCCGTGGTGAACTGGTCGTCCCATACCTTCTGCGTGTCTCATGTGTGTTGAACCAGGTGCTTTTTCGGTTTGAGCTAAACTTAAGTAGGTAGGGCTGGGCGAGAAAGGGTCCCCCGTTGCCTATTAGTAAGCGGGCCTTCAATTCCACCGGGGTCTGACGGTTTCTGAGAGGGGGGAGAACTACCTAACTAAATAAGAAGAGTGCTTTTCAGATTCTCAGAGTAGGCGTGGAGAGCTTTTTGCGGGGAAACTTGCAAGTCAAGTTTGGGGGGAGGCGGGCGTCGACCCAACCTTATGAGTATTCGGACTATAACAGTTCCGATGAACAGTCACTCACTTTTGACAGTTATACGATTCCAGAAGATGATCTAGAATTAGGTCAATCACGTTTATTAGAAGTAGACAATAGAGTGGTTGTACCAGCCAAAACTCATCTACGTATGATTGTAACACCTGCTGATGTACCTCATAGTTGGGCTGTACCTTCCTCAGGTGTCAAATGTGATGCTGTACCTGGTCGTTCAAATCAGACCTCCATTTCGGTACAACGAGAAGGAGTTTACTATGGTCAGTGCAGTGAGATTCGTGGAACTAATCATGCCTTTATGCGTGCGCCCGGATACATAGGCCGACTGCTGAGCCCACTCTGGCTCAGCCGCACCACCCCACCCGGGGTGCGAGCCACCCAATAAGCAAGCTATTACAGCGAGCGGCTGGAGCAGTAGGGAGCCGAGGAGCAAGGCAGTAGATAAGATAGAATAAGGGGCCAGGCTCCCGGTAGAGCAGAGGAGACGGTTAGGATAACGAACTTGAAACGCGGAGCCCGAGCGGCCGGCGAGCGAGTGGTTAGTGGCAAATAGCGCCCTAGTTGATGGCATTCCCTCTGCGGCTGGCACTCGAGGAACCACGGGGCACTCCATACAGAGCAAGCAAGTCTGAGGGATGAGACGCCCGCGCAAGGACCTCAATTCTCATTCTGAGGTCGAACCGAGGACCTATAGAAGTCGGGGCTACCCCGTCTACATGGCAACGCAACAGTGTCCTGAGGAAGGAGTGGAGAAGCCTTAGAGTAGCACGGACCTCTTTTTCATTCTAGGTCATGCGAAGGGGGCCAGTCCAAGTTTGCTTTCCTCATGACCTAGGTTTTCTCTCCCTCGGCTAACAGAGAAAGTCGATGAGTTGCTTTAGCTGCCCTAGATTCCTTGAAATAGGATCTATCCAAACCAGAAAGAGACACTGGTAGGAAGAAATCAATTCAACTAGCAGACCTTTCATCCGAACATAGCTACTTTCTATTTGAATACCAATCAATAGGAATGTGCTTCTCTCACTATCATAGCAGAAAGATAGAACCTTAGATGTCCCAAATCAGCTGCTACTAGTCTGACTCGATATTCTCTGTCTTTAGAACACCATAAACTGGAACTGGATTACCTGAGATAAAAACATATAGAATACCTACAGGAGCAAGCATCCAAGCAACGGTCGAGCGCATGGCTTATGGCTTAGAAAGAAGTTCCCGTCTCCGAGTGAAAGAGATTAGCATCAAGTTTCTCTTCCCGGGTTCGTTAGTAGCTGGGCAAGCGTGAACCTGCTCTGCCTCAGATTCCCCATTTCCTTCTATTTTCTCTTAATATGAAGTAATGAAGTAGGCACATCCATCCGCCCAACCGATCCATCCCCTGCTTTTGGCTTCAGTCGACCTGCCTGCCACAAACAAAGGACTACTTTTGATTCCCCAACCACAGCAACAAGCCAATCAAACCCCTTCTTTCCTTACTCGCTACTACAATCGAAGGAAAGCAAAACCACTCCTGCATACGAGACAAGAGGGTCAAACTTCGAAGCAAGTCATTCCTCTTCTTATTCTGAAGCGGGATTAGGAAGACCAAGAAAGAAAGAAGCCTAGATCGCTTACTACAGCCGGACATCGGGGAGATCAGACTAATGCCACATATGCGCTATATCTACTTCCAAGCTTTGCTTCTACTCTGGTTTTTTCAAGTCTTTCCCATTGGTATGGACATCTGCTTCAGGTTCAGCTTCTAGACTTCCATTTCCTCGATCGAATTGGCTTGCTTCTCTAATAAGTATCTCATATTGTCAGAATCTTCCCAAATCTTCCTTTCGAAGCACAGATATCTGATTCAATTGGGCAGACGGTTTCCTGTCCTTAAAGTGAAAGTCCACAATTCCATTTCAAGTACTTTTCCGTACTGACGTCTGATAGTCACCCTTTTCTCAATACTCCATTTTTGGAGGGATGAGCTCTGACTCAAGCTATCGATAAGGGATCTAATCCATATCTTCTATTTCCGATTATTGAAAGCGAATCCAGCAAGCCAGGATTGACACCTATGAGCCACCAACCGAATAAGTGTGAATAGAAGATAGAATGACTTTTTGTATTCTATCCGATGCAAGAACTAGAAGAAGGGGAAGAGCTGTCAAGCAGTCAATCGCTATCTTGCGCCTGAGCCCGGCTTTACCATGTCTCTGGACAAGGTGCGCAGCGGGTCAGACTCTTTGCATCTGATATGAGACATCTCCTAGATGAGATGGTTGAACCATTACTTCTTTGACGGTGGCAAACAAAGAATAGAGTGAGAGTAGGCGCTAGAAAAAGTCTTCCGCTCGTTCGCTACAAGTAAGAAAAGAAGAAGAAACAAGGAAGACCTGCGGGGGTAGAGGACAAGATGGCTCTGATTGGGGACGAAGGTTAGACTAGCTAGTCCCCGAGTTCAGGAGCACATTAAGACGGAGATTCCTGGCTCAGGTGACAACGGTCCGCGCGAGGCCGTACGTACTCTAAAAGAGAATGGCGTATTCCCACTTTCCCGAACTGAGAAATGGGCTCTCCCTCTCTCTAGCGCCTTTTAGTCGACCCTACCTCGTGCTGACGAAGCGACGGTGGCTAGGAAAGATTCATAAGGTGTCTACGGCTCACTTGTAGCGAGAACAAGAGCGGGTTAGGTTTGAACGAAGTGCGAGAATAAGCCACTAGTGCTTTTGTTGAAGTATCTTAAAAGACCCGTACGTATTTGAATTACAACATTCGATGATTCCAGCCGTAGGTGTGTCAGGTGAAGGTCGAGCTAGCGCCTCTTTCTACTCTATATAGACTCTGTCTTTCTTTTCGTATCAAGCCGTTCAACTTTGAAAAAGGCGCGAAGCGTCTGTGTCAAATCGGGTGTTCAGTCTACCGCGTTCAAGCTATCGAAAATCATGCCATTCTCCCATCAGACTCTTGTTGGAAAAACCAACGCCAAGGCGATGATCAGTCTCTTTTAGGGAGCAGAGCAGTCACAGAATGGAAATCCAAATGATGTTTGACTTCTTCAGGATATTAGAATGGCGATTCCTAACAATTGCTCCTTGTGATGCGGCGGAACCATGGCAATTAGGATCTCAAGACGCAGCAACACCTATGATGCAAGGAATAATTGACTTACATCACGATATATTTTTCTTCCTCATTCTTATTTTGGTTTTCGTATCACGGATGTTGGTTCGCGCTTTATGGCATTTCCACGAGCAAACTAATCCAATCCCGCAAAGGATTGTTCATGGAACTACTATCGAGATTCTTCGGACCATCTTTCCAAGTCTCATCCTGATGTTCATTGCTATACCATCGTTTGCTCTTTTATACTCAATGGACGAGGTAGTAGTAGATCCAGCCATTACTATGAAAGCTATTGGACATCAATGGTATCGGAGTGCGCCTCTTCACGAGGGTGATTGAAGTGCAACGAAATGTACCGGTGGTTCGCGAAGCATCTGGCTTACCGGTAATCTCCCATTCCCGTCGTCGAGAGAAAAAAAGAAAATGAGCATGCCAGAAACGGGGAGTTGAGGTGGTTAGACCTATACCCCGAAATGCTCCCAGCATAGGGGCCTATGGTTCAATTCTTTTTGTTGCTGGAGGTACACATACCTCTTCTCGGTGTGAAGCTATATACGACAAATAGATGCTAAGCCTGCAATGTTCGATAACGGCGCTGAAGTAGTGAATCTATCGGCACCACAGCAGTGGCATACAACTTTGGACCTAACGGCCAGCCCCATGACCTTTCGGAATGGGGGATCCCCGTTGGCAACAACCACGGTAGTAGTTGCTGAACTACTGGGCCAGGAGAGGACAACCTTTTGTTCCTGCTCCTCTTCCTTCGCTTCGGGGACGGAGGTCCTACGGTAGGTAACAGCAGGCACAAGCAAAGCACTTGACCGAAGGGGACCAGCGCTTCTACGAGGAGCCGTTCGCAGCGAGAAGCAAGGGATGTCGTGAACGGTGGGAGGTAAAAGAAAGAGAATTGACCTATTCATAGAGTGATCTATGATCTATATAGAGTCT